CTACTATACTTCTACCTCTCCTTCATTTCCTACTACCTCTCTTGTCCTGTCCCTGTCTACTGGCCTATATATACTCCCTCTCCTTTTTGTTAGTGTGACTTCATAAATGGTCCAAGTCGGATCGAAATGTTGTTGTAAGCTCCTCTTACGTGTGGGTTAATTGTGCATGAGTGTGTTGGTTTATTCTACTGCACCAACATGAAGACAACTTGTACACAATATAAGGTGTTTGTATTGTGTGGAAAAACTTGCCTAATGTGAAATGAAAGTGTATGAACAGCAAGTGGACAGGTATTAACACACATTAGTCTTACTGTCTACTACTTGTTCACACTGTTCACCTTCTCAGTGTCTTGTTCTCACATTTATGATCACATTTAAGGGTAGTTTTAAAAAAAAAAAATCATGCTTTAATGTCAAGTTAAATGTATACAATCGCAATAAAACAGTTGAGGGGTGGTAGCTGGGTGGGCTACCACACCTGACTACCTATAATAAATGCTATTCACCTCTAACCCTACATTTAATGTGATACTGTAAAAGTTGTCAGGCATTTATATGTATTTAAAAGTAAGGAGAAAACCATAATGGAGGAACACTGCTGAAGGCCTACTGGCCCATACAAGGCAGGTCCTTGCCAAAACCACTGCTACCGAAGAATTTACTCCTGTACCCACAACACCAATCACACCCAGCCCTTCCCACCTGTATATTTCTCCAATCTCTTTAAAGCTACCCAGGGTCCTAGCCTCGATTATTCTACTCGGAAGACTGTTCTACACATCCACAACTGCTTGAAAACCAGTACTCTCCTCACTTAGTGATGTACTTGTTTACCAACAACTCAGATTTGACAGGTTCTCTGACCAGTATGCATACCAAAATGTGTTACAGCTGATTTCCTCTTGTTTATTACAATATACAGTACATTAATGCATAAACCTTTAAAAATTTACCATTATAGTATGCTACTCATTGCAGATTTGCTTACCGACGAGATCTTAGGAACACAACTCGGTCCTCAAGTGAGGAGAGGCTGTACTTAGCTATGGCCTTTCTAAATGTGAATTTATTTAACTTAAATCCATTACTTTTTGTTTTTACCTGATTCGATATCTCCTGTATTTTATCACTCATTCCAACAATATCTCCCCTCATTTCTAAGTCTCTCCAGAGTGAAGATTCAAGACTCAATCTTCATATGGGAGATTCCTTGTATTTTAAATATGTTTAGTCCTCCTTCTCTGAATGTTCTCTAATGAATCTATATCCATCCTGTAGTAAGGAGACCAAAACTGAGCAGCATATTTTGCAAGGCCTCACTAGTGATGTAGAGAGCTATAAAATAACTCTTGGAATTACGTTACTTGCACTTGTTGAAATAAATCCTAGTGATCTGTTAAACTTTTTATACACACTTAGGCACTGTTGTCTTGGCTTTAATTTCTACTTACCACGACTCCCAAGTCGTGGTAAACACAAACCTAACCTGCTGCATAAGTGGGGCTAATTTTTTGTCTGCCACAGGTTTAGCACTTCATTATTATGTCTGCCACTTAATCAGGAATGCAAATTTTCATAAACTGACATGTTTTGGTTAGGGTTTAAATTTTTTTTTAATCTACTATATCCATATATTTTCCTCCTTTTTAGACTGGCTATTAAACTAGTTTCATTAAAATAAATTTTAACAGGTTGGTTGCCTTTATTCTAGGATGGGGGGGGGGTTAGAACTTCAGTAGTCGCCTAACCTCTTCGCAGTCTTCGTAACTAATTTTTTTAACAAGTTTGCCGTCTCCCTCCAAGGCAGGGTGACCCAAAAAGAAAAAGAAATCCCTTTATTGCTTTCCCATTGTCATTCACTTCACTTTATAGTGTTGAGACCCCTGATCCTTAACTGTCAAAGTATTAAAAAAAAAAAAAATCTTATGAAATAATCTTTTCTCGATGGTAATGACACCTAAAGTACGAAATTTGGTGGAAAACTCGAATTATGCTCTCGCAAAGTTAACAATCTATGCAATGTTCACACTGGCTATTTCACCCACTTTGAGCCCTATTTTCAGCCAATTCCATTGTTCCAATTGACTAAAATCATAGCTGTTTCACTAGAACTCCATTTGTTCTATTGATAGAGTACAAGAAACTGCCCACTTACTGATTTCAACTACCCAATAAAGTGGTCAAATTGGCAATTTGGCCAATTTAACAAACTTCAAAAGATGCCAATTTCAAAATAGGGTCCAGAATAAACAAGGCAGACATTCTTGGCACTAAAATAACGTTTTCTGTTCATTAGTCGTGTCTCCAGGCCCCTCTTGTATTACTACTGCTTTCCATTTTTTATTTTTATTTGCACAAAAAATAGAAGATTTACTGTTAAGACTACTGCATTATTATTGATAATCGCCCATTCATGACTGCATATTAGAATGGCCGGTTGGACATGTATTGGACAGTGACGCTATTTATTTACTCTTGAACGTCGGCAAAAATCGAACACTTTCACTACTTTGAGCTCAATTTCAAGGTCCTTTTCATCGTGAAACCGATCAAAATCATCTCTTTCTGTAACATGTCTTCTGTTCTATCAAGTGAGATCAAGGAAACTAGAATACAACCATAAATACTATACAAAAATACCTCAGTCGGCATTATAATCCAAAAACTGTCAGTTGTTTTTTTTTCTCTAGTTATGCACTGTGTGCTGAAGGATTTTTTTTTATACTCGCACAGACCCATTCTCTCACATGTGGGCCTACAAGTTTTCTCCTGCTTGATTTGAAGCCGCTAGAATTTTGGAGTATAAATACGTCAAAAACACTGACTCTTAAAACATGTACAGTATATACGACCAAAACAGTCAAAGGGTTAAGTTGGAAATATTCAGATTCAGGAAGGATATAGGAAAGTACTGGTTTGGTAATAGTTGTGGATGAGTGGAACAAACTCCCCAGTACTGTCATAGAAGCTAAAACATGCAGTTTTAAAAATAGGTTTGATAAATACACGAGTGAGTGTAAGTTGGACCTGACTATTTTGTGCTAATTGGTCTGATGCCATGTTCATTCCTTAAGTGGATGTGACCTGACCTCACTTGGTTTGGTGGTTGGCTTAAGCTGGTAGGAGACTTGGACCTGCCTTGCATGGGCCAGTAGGCATGCTGCAGTGTTCCTTTGTTCTTATTACTGGGGGTAACTAGAAAATTATTCCTTTCGTATGCCTTCACTTGTAGCTATTTATTCTACTGCAATTTTTGTGGGGTAAGTGGTTCACCAACTCGTGCAAATGTACTTGTTTGAACCAAAAGTAGACTGATGTTAATATGCATTTCTTCTGATCCAGTGACTGTATTTCAGACGTACATATACTTGATTCTAGTGGCTTCAAATCAAGCAGGAGAAAGCTGGTAGGCCCACGTGAGAGAATGGGTCAGTGTGCACTGCATAAAAAAAAAATCCTGCGGCACGCAGTGCACAACAAAAAAAAAAAAATACTCAGACTGTTTTTGGATTAAAACGCCGACTTTGAGGTGTATTTTCGTATAGTACAGTGGACCCCCGGTTTACGATATTATTTCATTCCAGAAGTATGTTCAGGTGCCAGTACTGACTGAATTTGTTCCCATAAGGAATATTGTGAATTACATTAGTCCATTTCAGATCCCCAAACATACACATACAAACGCACTTACATAAATACACTTACATAATTGGTCGTATTGGGAGCCGATCGTAAAGCGGGGGTCCACTGTACTTATAGTTGTATTCTCATTTTCATGGTCTCATTTGATACAAGGGAAAACGTATTACAGAAATAGTGGTGATTTTGATTAGTTTCATGATGAAAACTACCTTAAATTTGAGCTCAGAGTAGCAGAAATGTTAGATTTTTACCAATGTTCAAGAGTAAGCAAATCATGCCACATATCCAGTACACATCAACTTTGGAGTCTAATCTTTCATTAGTGCACTGATGTTATTTATACCATTTTTACAATAATGCAGTAGTCTGCATAACAGTAAATCTTCGATTTTTGTGTGACTAAAAAAGAATCAAAATAAGAGGGGTCTGGAGATGACTGATGAACAGAGGATGTTACGTTAATGCCAAGAATAACAAAAAGGCACAATACCGTGACTGGAACGATACACAAATAACCCGCACATAAGAGAGAAGCTTACGACGACGTTTCGGTCCGACTTGGACCATTGACAAAGTCACACTAACCAGAAGTGGAGCAGCCAAGAATGTCTGCATTGTTTATTCTGGACCCTATTTTGAAATTGGCGTCTTTTTAATTTGGATATTTAAAATTGATAAATGGGCGGTTTCTTGTATTCAATTGATAGAAAAAAAATGGAGTTCTAAAAAAAATAGCTGAGATTGGTCGACTGGAACAATGGAATTGGCTGAAAATAGGGCTCAAAGTTGGTGAAATCAGAAATCGCTAACTTAGCGGGAGCGTAATTCTGCAAGTTTTCGATTAGATTTCATACCTATGGTGTCATTAGCATTGGGAAAAGATTCTCTTATTTTTTTTTTTTTTTTTTTTCTTTTTTTCCAAAAAAAATTTGCAACATAGAATGACAGTTTCAGAAATGGGCTTGCAACAGTCAAAGGGTTAAATTTGTCATATTTCGTGTAGTTAGGGTAGCTGGTGTGGGAGCTACCCCACCAGACTTCCTGCAATTAATACTACTAACCTCTTGCCCTAACGTTAAAACCACAGATATTTTAAGTAATGAATTTACTGTGTAATTTTTTTAATGCTGTTCCGCTTTACAGCAGTACCCTGGAACTTAACCTGCTGTATAAGTGGGGCCCTACTGTACAAATGTTTTTCAATCTGTAAATCATTGTAATTTAGGTTACTGAGCAAACTTGACTATAGTTAATCTTCATACCATCCATTTTTAGTTTCGAGTTTGTGGTTCACATAGTTTCAAGAGTAGCTTTGAGCCTTCAATATGCCTATCACTAAAGAAATTCTCTTTCAGGGTTTCCTTATCTTCCATTCATTCGGTGGTGGCACTGGTTCAGGTTTCACATCGCTGTTAATGGAACGCCTCTCAGTTGACTATGGAAAGAAGAGTAAACTGGAATTTGCCATCTACCCTGCACCCCAGGTGAGTGTCTATTCCTTATTAAAAAGTGCAGTTGCCAATGTTTGCTTGTTGCATTTAGTATATGAATATGACATGTACTAAAATTTAATGCTTTCTTTATTTTTCCCCTCTAGGTTGCTACTGCTGTGGTAGAGCCATACAACTCCATCCTGACGACTCACACAACCCTCGAACACTCGGATTGTGCTTTCATGGTAGACAATGAAGCAATTTATGATATATGTCGCCGGAATTTAGATATTGAAAGGCCTTCTTACACAAACCTCAACAGACTCATTGGTCAAATTGTGTCTTCCATTACAGCTTCCCTCAGATTTGATGGTGCCTTAAATGTTGACTTGACTGAATTCCAAACTAACTTAGTTCCTTACCCAAGGATCCATTTCCCTCTTGTAACTTATGCTCCCGTAATTTCGGCTGAGAAAGCATACCATGAGCAGTTATCTGTAGCAGAGATCACAAATGCTTGCTTTGAACCAGCCAATCAAATGGTAAAGTGTGATCCTCGACATGGGAAATACATGGCCTGCTGCCTCTTGTATAGGGGTGATGTTGTCCCCAAAGATGTGAATGCTGCTATTGCCTCGATCAAGACGAAGCGTACCATCCAGTTTGTAGATTGGTGTCCCACAGGTTTTAAGGTTGGCATAAATTACCAGCCACCAACAGTAGTTCCTGGTGCTGATTTGGCAAAGGTGTCACGCGCTGTTTGCATGTTGTCGAATACCACTGCTATTGCAGAGGCATGGGCACGTCTTGACCACAAATTTGATCTGATGTATGCCAAACGTGCATTTGTTCACTGGTATGTAGGAGAGGGCATGGAGGAAGGAGAGTTCACTGAAGCCCGTGAGGATTTGGCAGCACTGGAGAAGGATTATGAAGAAGTTGGCATGGATTCTGCTGATGGCGAAGACATTGAAGATGGGGATGAATATTGAAAATATTAAGGTGAAAATTACCTTCCACATGCTATTAGTTAAACTGGAGGTAAACATTCCTGAAGTACTTTTACATCAAAACATATTTTTTCCAAATAATACCATTTTAGTTACAAAAATATATTTTCATTGATTTTATTTTACTTCAAATATATGCTAAATTTTTCAGTGCACTATTTTATTTAATGCCTTAGTTTTAAATGTTGCACAGGAGTGCCCTGCATATACAGCACCTATTTTTGGTGTTAACATTTTCATTGGCTTAAAATTGAACCATTGTTAAAATCACCAGCATGTGGGACTTAATGTGCAATGGCTCCTTTGAAGCAGACAAACGCATGGAACACCGAAAAGGTGCTCTGCAGTGCCCTCCTGTACTTTTAAAGATAATTTTAAGCAACATAATTTCGCAAAGTCAAATACTTAACATTGATTTGTATAGACAAAACTGGTATAAAAGATTGGTAGTAAGGGAGCTCCTCCATAGATGACTAAATACAGGCTACTCAAATCAACGAGTGAGGTTTTATCATTTTTGTCTGATGTAGATAGTTTTTAAGACTACTATTGTGCCAACTCGATAACCTCTTGCTTGCATCCTACTCTGTGGTGCAGTATGACCCTTTCAGACCTTCCCTCTAATCAGATCTGATTACTTATTCCTCAGGTTCTGTATGATTGCTATGAATTTAGATTTCCAGTGAACATTATTTATGTAACCTGGATTTTGTCAGGAAATGGTTGCTAATACTAATTTGAGGGCTTTATGGATATTTTAAATTAATGAGGCAGATTTTGAAAATGCTGGCGAGCTCCTAAGCTAAGGAATTGGACCTTTAACTTCTATTCCCCAGGCACTTTATGACCTCTCATGGGTTTAGTGCCTCTAGTTAAATAAAACCTGTTTCCTTCTCAGCTGTATGATCCTTACTGGTTCAGAGGTTTGTATAAAACTTTTCCCATAAATATAATTAGTTTTGGGCACTCGAAACCTGCTTTCCTAATAGCTTTAAGTTTGTATTGTTCCTAAGATTGTGTGCATTGTTTAATATTAAAATAGGTACTTTTGAGCTAAGAAAGTTACTCGGGCTGTACACAGTACCAAGTGTTAGGAAAAAATTAGTCATAGTTGTAGAATCAAAATCCATAATTGTGCTACTCTAACTTTACAGTTGCACGCTATGTTCTGTCTAAACAACTATTGCCCCATTGGTTAGTGGATGCGTAGCTGAAAATTTGAAATGTTACACCAATCTGACTTCTGGAAAGTTCCAACTGCACTGTAATAGTGGAATTTCATTGTTTCATCCCAGTCTTGATAGTTTGATTTCATCTCTTCCCCAGAGGTATTTATTGTTGGAGGCAGTAAGTTTGTTAAGTCAAAGGGTGCGACTTTCAAGGAGGGCGGTGAAGACGAAGTGGAATTATGCATTCTGCTAATGAAGACAATTTATAAAAATTATGAACCAACAGCCTAACTTCGCAATCCTTAGTGGTGCCGAGCGTTCTTTCCTGAGATGTCCGTGAGTGGGATGTCTGATAGGTGAGCGAGTCCTAAACATGACAACGATATCTAGGAACATAAGCATAGTTAGACAATGTATTTCATTGTAAACGCCCCTCGAGGAAGGTTCCTCGATGCTGGTGAGGGGTTCTTGATCTACGGTATTGGATCTGCTCGGGTTCCCTGAATTGAGCCTGAATGCCTTCAATTCCCTCCCCAGGCTCTGTATAATGTTAGCTGCGGAATCTTGCTTATTCGTTGCCAGGGACATTTAAGTGTCTAGGAACTACAGAAAACGTCGTCTTAGTGTTTACTAGAAATGAGGCATAACCAAAGTTGTATACTTAGGACGATGAGACGAGGGGAATCAAATTACTAGATAGCCTCCAACGTAATATGGAAGACTGAAATTGCTACCAGTGACAAGGCAAGCATTGAGGCAATATCTGACTGCCAAGAGTTTTATACAACTTGGCTGTGAAAAAACAAAGTCTAGTAAGTTATTTCGAATAACTGTCCGGGAAAGCTGCTCCACACCCTGACACTTTCAAGGCACTTAAGTCCATCAGTGTACGCTGCAGTGACTTGATAATGAGAATAGAATTGGTTAAGAGCGTGAAGCTATTGTAAGTAATTGAGCTTTCGCACATGGAAGCTGGGAAGAACAGGCAAGTCGTGGGAGCTTTCCAAACGGGTAGAGAAAAAGCAAGATGCTGGATGGACATGCAGGGGAGGTAAATTAAGAGAAGCTAATAGAAAATGAATACTGGGAGGAAAGTCGCTGTATAGTCCTTGTGGCTTAGCGCTTCTTTTTGATTATAATAGTGGGAGGAAAGTCGCAGAAGTTGTACTACATCGGTTAACATCCTCTGTGAAGGATAGTTAAGGTCATGAGAGCGGACAAAACTGAAAATTGGTATGTCGTTCTTGTGAAGATGGAACATAGGCTCTCACACGTTGGCCTTGAATGGAATCAAGTTTAGAAAGAGTAGAGGGAGAGACTACAAAATACAGTTGGTCGCTGTGGTCCAATTTTGATAAGATAAGGGCACGATGAGGACGAAGAAGGGTTTGATGACTTGTAGGTTTAGCATTTTTGTCCTAAATATATAAATATTGTGTATATATAAAATAATTTTACTCCACAACCCTACTTATTAAAACAAGGTTTGTGTACGAATGGTATATAATACCGACAAGATGAGATTAAGACACATATGCAACATCTGGGTATCTTTATAGTAGACGTTTATCTCCATCCATGCTTTGTATTCAATACAAATTCTATGACATAACTTGAAGACAGTAGAACTATGTACAGAAGATGAGGTAATCAGTCCCTCAACCTAGGAGTAGGTGCGAAGAGCACCATAGTCGAGAGATTACTTTTTGAGCAGAATACAGGATCCTGGCGCTTATATAGTAACGTCCAGAGTGTAGCAGACGAGGGCAATATTCACTGGTAGGCGGATTCCCCCAGTGGAAGTAGTCCTCCTAAGGAATGGTTGTATCTCTTATATATATATATATATATTAATATATATATATTATTTATATATATTAATATATATATATATTTATATATATATATATGATTTATAAATATATATATATTTTATAATATATATATATATTTATATATATATATATATAATTATATATATATATATATATTTATATATAAAATTTATATATATATATATTTATATATATAATATTTATGATATATATATTTATATATATATATATTTATATATATATATTACTATATATATAAATATATATATTTATATATTATATATTTATATATTAATTATTATATATATATATTTAAATATATAATTAAATATTATAAATATATAATATTTATATATATATATATATTTATATATATATATATATATAGATATTTATATATATATATATATATATATTTATATATATATATATATATATATATATAATTATATATATATATATAAAATAAATATATATTTAATATATATATAAATATAGAATATATATATATATATAAATATATATATATATAACTAAAAATAAATAAAATATATAAAAATAACATACATAAATAAAACTAAAAAAAAAAAATATAACTCTTAAATAAATAACTCGAAAAACACAATAAAAATATCAAAAAAACACGACAAAAGTATACAAACAAGAAAAAAAAAAAGAACACACACACACTAAAAACTAACACACAGCACCCACACACACATCGACAACACACACAAAACACACACAAACACACACACACACACACACACACTAACAAACACACACACACACTCAAAACACACACACACACACAAACACACACACAAACCACACCACAAACACACACGCCGTAACACACACAACGACACACCACACAAACAACACCAACACACACGAACACACACACACAAACACCACACACACACACACAAACACACCACTCACACACACATAACACACACACACACACACAAACCACACACACACACACACTTGATCAAACCACACACGACACCATACACAAACCACACACACACACACACACAAACTACACACACACACACCACACAAACGACACACCACAACACAACACACACGACACACACGAAACAGCACACACACAACACACACAAACACAAACACACACACACAAACACACACACACGAGCCCAGCAACACACACACACACACACAAACACACACCACACACACAAACACACACACACACACACACAATCACACACACCAACTACAACAAAACACAGCACACACACGAAACACACACACCACACAAACACACACACAACACACAAAGACACAGCACACACACACACGAAACACACACACACACCCACGTAACCACACACCACACACGACAAACCCACACACACCCATCGAAACACACACACGACACACACAAAACACACACGACACACACACAAACACGACACACACACACACAAACACACACACACACAGCACAAACAACACAACCACTACACAAAACCCACACACACACACACGAAACACACACACACACCACCACAAACACACACACACAGCAAACGCCACTACACACACAATACACACACACACACGACAAACACACACACACACTCGACACACAACACGACTACACAAAACACACACACACACACTACAAACACACACACACAAACACACACAAACACACACGGAGCAAAACAGCGACAAACACACACTACACACAAACACACACCACACACACACACACAAATCACTACACACAACTACACAAACACACATCACGACGAGCACAGCAAATCGACACACACACACACAAACACACACACACACACACAAATAAACACTACACACAAAACACACGACACACACACAAACACACACACACACAACAAACACACACACCACACACTAACAAACGACACACACAAACACACACACACACACGACAAACACACACACACACCTACACACAAAACACACACACGTTCACACACAAACACACACACTACACACACACACAAACACACACACACACACACAAACACACACACACTACACCACACGGAAACACACCACACACACACAAACAAACACACACTACACACACAAACACAACACACACACACACCAACACACACAC